GATCGGACACAAGAAAGCAGAGGCTTCCAGGAAGTGAAGACCTGCCATCGTCTTCATCATGAAAGCAATTTAGCTTAGAACGTCAACAACACGTGCATGACCCCCCACCCACCTCGACAGGAACTCTGGGAGAGAATTGCAACTTCCTTGTTTGACTCTGCAGCTGGAGTTTGCTTCGAACCATAAGAAGTGAATTGACTCGATGGAAATTTGATTCAGGAAGCCCTACCGAAGTGACAAATGAACAGCTGATAGAAGTCAAAACTTGGGATCATCAATCTTGGTGTGCAACCTAAAATGAAAAGGTGATTGTTTGAACAACAAGAGATTCGATCTTAGTATTTGCATTTTGATCCTTGTGTGTTCTTTGAGATGCCATCGAAAGGTGGAACATCAAAAGTTTCTGTTTGCTTTGACCTCATCCAGAATGTTACCTATCTCAATTATGTTCTCCTTTTTAGAGTATCAAAAGATGATATCATGATCAAAAGTGGGAAAAATAAACGCAAGACTCCCAGAATTTGACTGTGTTCATGTTTAAGACAACCATATGCACCAAAAGATTAACCCCAAGTCCCCAAAACCAAATCAGAACCCAACAACAGAACCATGATAACATCATTCTTCACATGGAACATCAAGATTCGACGACAACATCTGCTACATGATTCAAGATGGCATATATCGTCCATGGAAGAGAAAGAACAAAGAATTAGCTGCAGCAACAGAGCTGTCAAATGTAAGTTGGTGAGCAGACAATGTTTCTGATCCAAACGACAGCCATGACATGACATTCGGATGCTAAACACTAAATAATCTTCAACGCTCGATTCTGATTTTGACCCCTTTTTCTGAAGTATAATGAATATTAATTTTTTATTATTATTATCATTTAGGACTTGAAGATTGAAGACGGTAGAAAAAGGGGCTCAGGCGTCGTCGGTTGACTGCGACCAACGAGAGCTCCGAGGGCATCAAAAATCGTGTCCTTTCTGAGGAAAGATTATTATTATTATTATTATCGCAGTCTTGACGTACGATGTTTACAGTAAATCAAGTGGCTGACGTCCACCGATCATAGTATTGTTGACCGCTCGATCCCGAAACCAGAGAAGCGCGTCATTGTGATGCGTGCTTCTCATTTTCCTCTTCTCCCAGCAGTCTTCTAATTAACTTATATTTTACATTATATTGTTTGATGTATGGATATCTAGATAGCCCTTTATAGTAAATTTTTAATATCATTATTTTCACAATCGATATTGATTATATGGGGATTCACACTCTTTCCGAACTTAATCATGATTACGATGAGTTGAATCCAATATATGATTACGTCTAATCAATTCAACTTTATGTCGAGGTATTAGTCATGTATTAATCATACAGTACTAAGGTGTTAATCATGTGATACTATAGTGACATCTATATGGTGTTAATCATGTGATACTATAGTGATATCTATAAGGTGCGGTGTCGATTACATAATATTATAGTATTCGTCATATGGAGTTGAGTGTTGATTACATAGCATTAGGGAGTAACTAATATAAAGATAAGAAAGCAATCAACACATTGATGTCCCATCGTCAATATTTAAACACCATGCGACCAATATACCATGGCATCTCGGAGTAGTGCCATGCCAACTCCTCGGCACGAGGTAAAATTGACTGGACATTATCATATCCGATCATGATTAAGTTCATAAGAAGCATGCATCTCTGATAGTCGACATTGATCGTGGGAATAATGGCGAGGCTACCTCTGTACGCTATAACCCTCTTGCTATCATCTGCATCTCATCTGCCTCAGATGACAGACTAACGCCCGGGGAATTCATGTCCCTGAACGAGACTTTGGTCTCCGATGGTGGAGCCTTTGCGTTAGGCTTCTTCTCGCCTACGATTTCCACTCGACAGTTTCAGTTCCCTCGGAGGGATATTGGGGAAAGTGTGGAGTCATCAAAGCCTGCAAGAAATTTCAATTCGCTTCGTACAGGGGGAGAAGGAACCGTAGCTTTGTAGTTGGAGGAAGCTCAGATCGTTGAAGGTTGACGAAAAGGAAGCTGAAGATCAATGACGAGGCTGCTTCTGTACGCTATAACTCTCTTGCTATCATCTGCATCTCATATGCTGTTGCATGCCTCAG